TTTGCATACAATAGAGTAGTCCATAAGACTACTAATCTTACACCCTTTGAAGTTGTCTATGGCTTTAACCCAGTAACTCCTCTTGATCTATTACCCCTTTCTAATACCCCTTCCTTGTTTCACAAAGAAGGAGTATCTAGGGCGGATTTTATTAAGAAATATCATGAAAAGATCAAGAGTCAAATTGAAAAGCAAACACAAAAATATGCCAAATACAACAACAAAGGAAGAAGATTCTGAGTATGTCAAAACTAAAACCCTAGGGGAGATGGACCATTCCAAGTCCTTCATAAAATAAATGACAATGCATATAAATTAGACCTTCCTTCTGAGTATGGCACTAGCTCATATTTTAATGTATATGATCTCACACCATTTTTAGGAGCTGAGGATTTGGATGAAGATTCTAATCTGAGGACAGATGCTTCTCAAGAAGGAGGGGATGAAGGAGGACCATCCTTGAAGACACATGTGGGCCCCATCACTAGGTCCATGGCTAGGAGAGTTGAAGAGGAGGAGGGAGCTCACCCACCAAGAGACACTCTCCTCATGATCATAGAGTATTAGTTCTCTCTTAAGCTTCATTAGTATAGGGTTTATTTTATTTGCCAATTTTACCCTTGTATTTTGGGGTGTTTAGGACTTAGAATTTATTTTCTTTTGTATTTCCCATTTTACCCTTGTATTATGGGGTGCTCTAGATGATTAGGGTTTTAATTTTGGGCTAGGGTGTTAAATTAGAAGGGTGACGCATTTTTGGTGCTCTTGGATCTATTTTTGGTGTTAGAAAGGCTTAGGCCCAAGTGGAGGGCAAAGGTTGCATGGTCTTATCATGCACCTAGATATAGCCAATCTAAACCCAAAGATTCCATCCTTGGCCACCAAGTTGCATCTAGGGTTCATTTGCATTTCATTTGGAGTGCATTTGCCTTATGAAATGCAACCCTAGATGCCTCCCCTCCTATAAATACCCAATGCACCACACCTTGTAAATACTTTGGATTATATGATATTGAGTGAGCATTTTATGGCTCAAAATCCCATCCTTAGTCCCTAGGTTAATTCGGCTAGCCTACTTCATTCTCCACCCTTGGAGAGTGAAACCCTAGAATGGCCTCCACCTTTCACTTGGAGTGAGCCAACCATGAGCAACCATACACCAACCTTTCATCCTTCATCACCTTTACGTCCCAAAACCACCTTTCACCCATACATCCACATAACCCCTTTCTCCTTTGGTGAACCTAGATCTTTGGGCAAGGAGTACCTCTTCAAGGAGCCGAAATCATCCATGGAAGGGAGGATCCCATCACCTTCCCTCTGAATATGGAGTTATTTCCTCTTTTAATGTTTGTGATCTTACACCTTTTGTAGGGACTAATGACATCGATGAGGTTGAAGATTTGAGGTCAAATCCTTCTCAAGAAGGAGGGGATGATGGATGACCATCCTTGAGACATCATATAGGGCCTATCACAAGGTCCATGGCTAGGAGAGTAGAGGAAGATTAAGAACACACCACACCAAAAGCCATGAACATCATGTGTGTGGATTTTGGGCCCTCTCCTTAGCTTGTTGCTTTCTTTTCCTATTTTGCCCTGGTATTTTGGGATACATTAGCTATTAGGATTTTATTGTGTATTTTTATTTAGCCTTTGTATTATGGGGCAAAATAAGGCTTAGGATTTATTTAGGGACTTAACCTTGACTAGTAAGGTCAAAAGACCATTTCTTTCATTTTCTAGGACTAAGGGTGCTTTAGTCTTTTTGGAGAGATGAGAGTCATCTCATTTGGGCTGCATCTAGGGTTCATTTAGGGTGCATTTGGGCTTGAAATTTTCAGTCAAATACTCCCAAGAAACCCTAGCATGCTCTCCTCTCTCTATAAGTAATATAGTCCCTCCACCTTGTACCCACCACTAGTGGAATAAAGGCTTTTAAAATCAATTATTTTTGACTTTTAAAATCGGTAATGGAAGCGATTTTAAAAGAGCCGATTTTAAAAAAGTAGACTTTTAAAATCGGTTGTTAACCGATTTTAAAAGTAGACTTTTAAAATCGGTTGTCTTATAACCGATCTTAAAAGTCTTGACTTTTAAGATCGGTTATGAAACAAACGATCTTAAAAGTCTTAACTTTTAAAATCGGTTATGGCATAACCGATCTTAAAAGTAGTGATTTTTTTTGTATGTTTGACTCGTTTTGGGAGCACCTCAGAACAAAAAACCTGCAGAATAAATACCAGACAGTTCAAAATATTTTTCTCAATGAAGCAAATTGCATACAAATGACAAGATGATAAATGTCAATCATATGTATATAATTGAATAGTTTTAAATATATGTAATACATAAATGGACTACATTGCTCAATGAAATGTAAGTTCTAACTAGTTAAAGCGATACTATAAAACATAAGCCCAAACTAGTTAAAGTAATAGTTAATAAAAAATGTGGCCCATTGCTCCCTAATGATGTTTATGTCTTCTAGCGGCAATGGTGATCGATCTATAAATATCTATTAAGAAAAATTAAAATAATTAGTAATAATTCATAAAATGTATAGAATGAGAACTTAAAACAAAAACTTTGAAAATTGTAAAACTTACTTCAGTCCACCCAGATACTATTTGTGAATCGACAATAGTATGCATTGTCTTCATTACATAGTATCCGCACTCATAATTTCCTTTTTGTTTATGAGACTACAAAAAGAATATAAAATCAATTTCAATAGAATAGTAATTAAAAAAAATTACTAAATTACTTAAAAAAAATATCATTGCTAGAATTAAAATCTTACTTTAGGAGAGACCCAACTCATTTTTTTCTTCATCTTTGAACCCTTAAGTATATGATATCCTTCCATGGCCCTAATGATAAAATGACATTATGATTAGTGTAAAGTCAAATGTAATGATAATCAATAAAAGAAATTAGATATTTTTAAACAATTTACCTATCTAATAATTGTCTAAAATCCATAGGAGGAGGTTTATGCAACGAGCAAATGCATACAGCTATGTTGTCCATAGGACAAATAACTAAAAGTTGCCAATGAGCACTGCATTAAGAAATTATGAGTAATAAAAAAAATAGTTTTTATAAAAAATTATATTTAATTATATAAAATTAAACTTACTCAGAAAAATAAGGGGCCAAGTAAACTTTTTTATTTGAGTCGAACATCCAATTTTGAATGTAAGCTTGTATTTCTTCGACTTTGTTCCCACTTTTTTGGATTGACTCAGGCTCCAAAAATCCATATATGTGATCATTTCCCTTATCCATGCTCAATTTATGGATAAATCTACAACGTTAGAAATAATGTTAGAAACAATGTTAGAAACAATGTTAGAAAAAATCAACAAAATATAATTAAAAATAATTTAAATACTTACAACAACCATAACTGCAAAATTGATATGTTTAGCATACAATGACCATTTGTAATCTCTGATATATCACTCTGACTTATATATAGAGGTACTTTACTAGACATGTTAAACACTTCAGGAGGCCAAGGGAGTTGTTTGGGTTGCTCGTCATCTTCCATATCTGCAACTAATCTCCATAGCCTTTTTATTGGAAGAAGATTTCTAGAAGGGGTAACAATGACCGTCCCTTTACCCTTTGGTGAGGTAACAATATCCTACTCCACAAAGTACAAAACTAATATTATACAATATTATAATAAAATTACACCAACTTAAAATTAAATATTATTTAAATAACATACCTTTGTAGATATCACCTTTACTAACTTATGAGGCCATTGAAGGAAGGTGTTCAAGGCTTGTCTCATTGTCTGAACCTCCTCTGTGGGCACAGGAACTCTAGCCTCTGGTTGTCTCACATCCAACACTGAAACCCTAATCATATCATCTCCCATGACTTGATGGTGTACAGTGGACCCTAATATGTGAATCTTCCTTATACCCACAGGATCGAGTGATCCATCCACAAACAACTCACATTTATTAGATGTACCCGGGCCAGTGGCAGTAACAGGGGGATCAATAGAAGCACATGATCCCTTTGTACTCACACGTGCAATAAATGGTTCTACTATTGGAGTACTTTGTTGAAATTGTTGCCTGAGTGATTGCATATGCTCTTGTAGTTGCCTTTGCATGTCCTCTTGTAGCCGCTTATGAATCTCCTCCTGCATCTGACTAAATTTTTTCTCATAAGTTGCCATAACTTGAGAGACCTTTCGTTCCACTAACTGGTCCACCGTGCCAGATGTTTGTGAAGATGAGCGTGATCCAAAGTAGGTTTGTAAACTATGACCTCCACCAGCATCCCGAACCCGACCTGGGTGCTCAGGCTTCCCAATTGTAGTTGTGAGTATATCCTGGCATCCATGGGAAACAAAAGATCCCTCTGTGGACTTTTGTTCCAATATATCCTACAATACAAGACACAAAAACAATTTAAGAAACATTTATTGATCTATATGTTAATTAGCATCATATGTACAAAACAATTATACTTACTATCTTGTTAGCAATCACTTTTGTTGCCTCAGTTGTAAACTCGCCCATTTTTTTAATGCGACCATGCTTCCATAATTTATAGCGCGTGGGTGGAGAAGGAGGACCACTAACTGTAGTCGCATCTTGGCTAGCTGGACGCTTGATAGCCTTCTCTTTCATCAACTTTTTCTTAAGCCATGGATAACCCCCACGAGACATCACAACATGATGGAATCATGCTTTGGAGTGCAAGAGGTGACATACTCAAAGATCCAAGAGGAGTGGGCTAGACATGGAAGATTGGGCCAGTCAAGGCCCAATGGGCCCTATGGGCTTGGAAGGCCCAAACCAAGTTTCAACATGGGCCTATCTTGTTATGAACATTCTTATTATATTTTGTTAGCATAGTTTGAATATATTTTGGTCTTGTATTTTGGGCCACATAGAGTAGCATTTTAGGTTTTAGGCTTGTTGGGCCTAGTTTTGGGCTTTATGGGCCTTTGGCTTTTGGTACCCAATATTGGGCTCATTTTCATTCTTGTAATTTTTCCTTTCCATTGTATTTGTTTGACCAATGTATTTAGGTCATTAGAATAGGAAAATACAAGGAATACTAAAGTAGGCTAATTAGGTTAAATTAGGTTTAATTTGAAAGTCATTTAAGTTACATTTGAGTCACATGTTTAGCACCATGGGTGGCTGAACATGTGCCACTCAAATTAACCCTAAAT